TATATATAATCGCATTCAAAGCCTAACAGAGAAGAGAAAAAAGTGGTTGAGGGAGCGGTCTTAAAGCTGGCCTATGTCAAGCATACTGAGGTGCCTCCAACCTCAATCAGACAATCTGGAAAGACACTGACAGCACAAACGCCGCTGACATCGATCAGCCGCCATTTCTTGCAACGTCTTCAGCCAAGCACAGACGGGGCACAGGGACCTCATCCTGGAAGGCGTACAACACCCAAACTCTTCGTAATCTCCTTCACACCTTTCCGCCAAGTCATGTGCTGTCCACCTCGCGGTTTGCGCCATCCTGAAGAAGGCACGGAGAGTAACACTCGCCTCGGTAAACGGTGTTTCGGCATGCGTAGCACATGACCGAGCCATCGCAGTCGATGATGCTGGATGGTTTCCCGGATTGAGGTGCCTGCAGCACAACCAAATACCCGTTTTCTAATCGCCTCATTACGGACACGCTGACGCGATCCAAGACCAGCCACGCTTCTGGGGCATCGGTGGTCGAAAACCTGAAGACGCCTCACACCATCTGTCCGCAGAGGCCATGTCTCGCATCCATACAACAACACGGAAGTGTGTTTGATGAAGTCAGTGCAAGAATCTCAAAGGCTAGAATCACGTTCGCTAATTTGCGTCAATTGTGGCGTCAAAAAGACATCTCACTGGATCTTAAGGGTCGTGTGTACCGCACTATAGTAAGGGCTGTGTTGTTGTATGGATGCGAGACATGGCCTCTGCGGACAGATGGTGTGAGGCGTCTTCAGGTTTTCGACCACCGATGCCCCAGAAGCGTGGCTGGTCTTGGATCGCGTCAGCGTGTCCGTAATGAGGCGATTAGAAAACGGGTATTTGGTTGTGCTGCAGGCACCTCAATCCGGGAAACCATCCAGCATCATCGACTGCGATGGCTCGGTCATGTGCTACGCATGCCGAAACACCGTTTACCGAGGCGAGTGTTACTCTCCGTGCCTTCTTCAGGATGGCGCAAACCGCGAGGTGGACAGCACATGACTTGGCGGAAAGGTGTGAAGGAGATTACGAAGAGTTTGGGTGTTGTACGCCTTCCAGGATGAGGTCCCTGTGCCCCGTCTGTGCTTGGCTGAAGACGTTGCAAGAAATGGCGGCTGATCGATGTCAGCGGCGTTTGTGCTGTCAGTGTCTTTCCAGATTGTCTGATTGAGGTTGGAGGCACCTCAGTATGCTTGACATAGGCCAGCTTTAAGACCGCTCCCTCAAAAACCTGTGTAACACATGTAAAATCAAGTCACCGACCCTTAGCACCTCGGCGGGATATTTAACAGGTGCTCTAAGTTGGGGAACGGCCCACGAATACATAATTTAGAGCAAAAGGCATTTGTCCGAACCACACTAACGTGGTCAGTTCTATTAGGGAGAAGCGGCGTTCACCTGATATGCGGTTTTGTTAGACCACTTGATAGGGTTAGCATTCAAATGAGCCACCGAGTCACCGCCCATTGTGCTGTATTCAACGCAAGGCGAGAAAAAAACGCCAGAGCACTTTGGAAGCCGTATGAAGAAAGGTTCAAAATTCCCAAGTAGTACAGCCTCGAACATCGAAAATCGAAGGGCAATTTGGCTCTGAACCACAAAATCGCAATCAGATGACCAACCAATGACCGCAACATAGCTATAAGCCTCAAGACTGACCAGACTCTTTCCTCTTTGTGGGACGCGCTTTCATGACCTTTGCCGAACAGCGAAGTTAGCGGTTTCCGGACGACGGACCTTCGTATCGGCTGTCGCACCAACATGACAAGCTGTCAGTAGAGCCATCTGTGTCCATCATGAGCCACTTCACCTGAAAAGACTGCTAGTGAATCCACAACGTCTTGCCTGCCTTTTTCGTCAGATGAGCTGGTAGATGGTGCGGACTGGGCTATGGAGGAAGCAAGTGCGTCCGCTAACCAAGCAGGCATTACAGCAGTCATCAAACCAGCCCCGGACCACGGTTCCGGCAATTAGTCGCCATGAACGATCGACGTTTAATTAGGGACCTCCACAGCGACTGCACACTCAACTGAGATAGATTTCATTCAAAAAGGTTGATGCGTTACGAGAGCCGGCCAAATACAGCAGATGAGTTTCCTGCCAGACCACAATACCCGGCAAAACCCATAGCGTTATCACAATCACCCTACAGGTGGCTTATAGGTCAGGAATACGACGTCCAATTTTGAGAAGGGCAAATCTAAAATCAAGGTTTACTTGTCCAACAAAAAAACCGTCAAAATCTCTGAAACTGCCCCTGCACAATGTTTGTTGTGTTAGGAGGGTGCTTACCAAGGTGCTTAACAAACGTATGCACTTCTTGGGCAGGTAAATGAGCGACTTCGGAACGTAGCTGTCCTCACTTTCAAAATACCCCACATTGCCGTTGCTGTACACTACAAGCCATGCCGGCTTCCACCGCCTCAACACAGTCGCTACAGTGGGTTAGGAAAATTAGACGATGACAACATACACAAGCGTTGGACAGAGCCCGCTTTAATAATATTGGCTTCCATCTCCTTTATGAACGTGAATCACCAACGGTTATCTCCACACAGAAACTAGGAGCGAACAACAGGAGTAGAGGAGTGGGCTAACCGCTATGAGATGCGGAAGTTGCGGGTTCTCAGATCTGATTGGTTCAGGAGTTGAATCTATTAGTGCACAGGTGATAGCCATAATACAAATCAGAAGGTATATGCACTAATAACAGTCTTTACTGTGGTTGACTGTAGTTTACAGAAGCGATTTGCAGCATTCATAAAATAAAGGCAATATAAATGTGGATCAAGTTAAAAGGGAACTGTTCGTATGTAAGAGTCCCTTGGTGAAAGTTCGGACGGCGGGAACGGGTTTTCTCCGCAGTTTGGCTACTAGACGTGTTCCATAATTGTCCGTGGACCTGAAGTGTTTGGCTGACTCCTTGTTCCCTGCGCTCGCGCGAGTCTGTGTGTGCTGGCTGTGTTCGGTTTCCCTATTTGTAGGTCCGTTTTCGCGTACGTAGGCGTGTCAGCACATGAGTACTTGCTACGCTTACTAGACGGTATAGACAACCTACGTCTGATGAGTCACCTTATGTAAAGTGGTTTGTGGGTACGAAAAAGGAAGTCTCGTGATCCATTGAGTGACTGTGAGCTGAACAGTCACGTATGTGGGTGACCGGGTGGCTAGAAATCCACAGGCTTCGGCCGATCGGTAACCAGGGCATGAAAATGACATCCTGGAAACTACGATGGCATCTAGCTTACCACTTCATAGTTATAAATGTCTATGTCCAATGCTTTTTCTGCAGCTTCTTTGAACTGGTGATTGGTTTTGGTGGGTTTTGCTCCAAAAGGATCGATTTTTAGGGTAGTTCTGCAGCGATAGTAGCTTGTGGATGCTGCTACCACTGAACTACTGCTACCACCGGGTTGTTTCCCGAACTTCCTAAATGGCAGATGCATGGTTCCCTCTGATTCCATTCTAAAGGCAGTTTGCCCTCCCAGCTCAGAAAGGGACAAAACACATTTTGGGTTTATCTGTGTTGAGCTTTGAGGTGGGTAGTCGACAAACGACAGTGCACTGTGGTGAACATTGACTCCATTCTATTCATTCTGTTTAGTGTATTTTTATATGCCTTTGTTTTACGATGCGATTGTTGGTACGCCCGCGATATTCGAGAATGTACGATATTCATTCGTCCATATTCGGACTTCTATACTACGCGTGCATTCGGTAGTTAAGATACCTACCACTATTCTAATTATCACATTTGGCGTCGCG